TCAAAATGGATGAAAGACCTAAATATAAGACAGGAAGCCATCAAAATCCTAGAAGAGAAAGCAAGCAAAAACCTCTTTGACCTCGGCCGCAGCAACTTCTTACTCAACACATCTCCGGAGGCAAGGGAAACAAAAGCAAAAATGAACTGTTGGGACCTCATCAAAATAAAAAGCTTCTGCACAGTGAAGGAAACAGTCAGCAAAACTAAAAAGCACCCGACAGAATGGGAGAAGATATTTGCGAATGATATATCAGATAAAGAGGTAGTATCCAAAATCTATAAGTAACTTCTCAAACTCGACACCCAAAAAACAAATCATCCAGTAAAGAAATGGGCAAAAGACATGAATAGACACTTCTCCAAAGAAGACATGCAGGTGGCCAGCAGACACATTAACAGTGCTCAACATCACTCGTCACCAGGGAAATACAAATCATAACCACAATGAGATAACACCACACACCTGTCAGAATGGCTAACATTAACAATTCAGGCAACAGCAGATGTTGGCGATGATGCGGAGAAGGAGGATCTCTCTTGCACTGCTGGTGGGAACGCAAATGCATGCAGCCACCCTGGAAAACAGCATGGAGGCTCCTCAAAAAATTAAAAATAGAACTATCTTAAGACCCAGCAATTGCACTACTAGGTACTTACCTAAGGGATACAGGTGTGCTGTTTCAAAGGGGCACATGCACCCAGTGTTGATAGCAGCGCTATCAATGATAACCAAAGTATGAGAAGAGCCCACATGTCAATCGATGGATAAATGGATAATGAAGATGTGCTTTATATATGCAATGGAGTGTTACTCGGCCATCAAAAAGAATGAAATCTTGCCATTTGCAACTACATGGATGGAACTGGAGGGTATTATGCTAAGCGAAATTAGTCAGAGAAAGACAAATATGATCTGAAGTCACTCATGTGAGGAATTTAAGATACTAAACAAATGAACATAAGGGGAGGGAAGCAAAAAAGAGTATAAAAACAGGGAAGGAACAAAACATGAGAGACTCAAATACAGAGAACAGATGGTTGCTGAAGGGAGTGGGGGGGGTGGGCTAAATGGGGAAGGGGCATTAAGGAACCTACTCCTGAAGTCATTGTTGCACTCGATGCTAACTTGGATGTAAATTACACAATAAATAAAGTCAAAAATAAATAAGTGAATAAATAAATAAAATCGGGGTGGGGGGGAGAAATAACAGTTAAAAAAAAAATTCTCTACCCAGACCTGTGATCATGTCTTTTATTTCCCTCCTTGTCCTGGGCAGCTGTGCTTCTAACCCCACTTCCTAGTTCAAGGCCCCGGACACGGGGTTCTTGCAGCACCACCAGGCTGCAGCTGAGTTTTGTCCCACGTGGTGCCACTTAATTGTTCTCTGTCAAGACTTTACCGGCACATTCTGAAACAGTTCAGTTGGTCAGTGTTACTAGTCTGTGTGCAATTTAAAATTAAAATAAGCCACCGTCCCTCATGGGCAAAACTCAAAGTCCATTATTTTTTATTCTGCTTCTTGGAGGTAATGTAAGGTTTGGGTCAAGTCCAATGTTGTGGTGTATTACTTAAGAGTCAGGCAATGTTGAATACCGAATACAAGAATGTAAGGTACTCACAGTGCCAGGCCTGGTTAGTTTGGTAACATTTTGTTCACATTACAGGAGTAATCAGAAGAGTAGTCAAATACAGGTTCAAGTCTGTCACACCTTATTTTCTTCTTTCAAGCAGGTTTGTTTGTTTTTTTAATCTTTAAACCATGATATAAAAATAGCCAAATGACGTTTTAGGAAATAGAGTTCATGAGATTAAAATTTTTTAATGTTTGTTTATTTTTGAGAGGGGGGGAGACACAGAATCCGAAGCAGGCTCCAGGCTCAGAGCTGTCAGCACAGAGCCCGACGCGAGGCTCAAACTCACGAACCGCGAGATCCTGACCTGAGCTGAAGTCAGACACTTACCCCACTGAGCCACCCAGGTGCTGCAGGAATTCATGAGATTATCATCACAGACTCTTTATAAACTATAAGTGAAAATAGTACAGTAACACCTTAGCTGTCTCGAACCCTGGAAAAATTGACGTAATTTCCAGAAGGCTGAGATTTTGTTGTCTTTTAGAAGAATTTTAGATAGAAAACTTTAAATCTGCCTTGCTCTGCTATTCCTCCTTAAACAGAATGGATTTGTTTAGTGTTTTTGGTAACAACTTTGTCTTTATTCTGAATGTCAGTTCTTATTACTGTGTTAAAGGAGTGAATGATGTTTTCGGATGCTCTTGCGGTATGTGAGACTTAATGACGCCACCGGGGGACCCCTGGGTGCCCTTGCTTTAGAGTATATTATGCTGCCATACCTCTGATCTGCCACTTACTGGCGCAGTGGCCTGGGGCAGCCATGTGAAGCTCTCAGTGTCTGGATCCCCAGGTGTCTCTCGGGGTGAACACAGGCTTCTTCGTTTTCTACAGCATCAAGAACCTGAGAATCCCAGATAGCTTCCAAATCTACAAGCCGTGACTACCAAATGAACTCATTAAGGGGATCCTAGCAGACTGGAGGGTGAGCCACGCTGTAGAATTGAGCAAGGATTGAAGTCAAGCAAGGAGGTAATTCCAAAAAGGAAACCTTTTCGTTGGAAAAGGTTGGACCCAAACACTGTAACGATCATCACTGGTTTAAAATGATTGAACAGGGGCGCCTGGGGGGCTCAGTCGGTTGAGCGTCCAACTTTGGCTCAGGTCACGATCTCACGGTTCGTGGGTTCGAGCCCCGAGTCGGGCTCTGTGCTGACAGCTCAGAGCCTGGAGCCTGTTTCAGATTCTGTGTCTCCCTCTCTCTCTGCCCCTCCCTCACTCGTGCTGTCTCTCTGTGTCTCAAAAATAAATAAAAAAGCAAAGTCTTTAAAAAAATAAATAAAATGATTGAACAAACATCGACGACTCAGAATGTTTATGATTCAAAGACCAGTTCCCACAGTCTCCTGAGCACCCCTGGGGCAAAATCCCCTAATCCCCTCACCCAGGGGTGCCGGGTCAGTTTGGGTGGCCACATCTGTGTGCCTGCTGTATGCAAGTCTCGTTACTGGGCAATCGGGGTGCACCGAGAACTGGAAAACATAGTCACCTGGCCCGTGCCTTCAGGGAGCCTGTGGGGGCAAGCGGGAAATACTAGGCAGGGTAGCTGGAATGCGGAAAGCAACAGCAAGGGCTCAGAGCGCAGCTAGTCTAACTAGTCTAACGAGGAAGGGGGACAGCCCTGAGCAGGAAGCAACAGTTAGCAGCAGGACCGAGAAGGGGGAGCCTGGAGGGTCCAAGGGCCTGGAGGTGCGCCCTGGGGCGCAGGCGGGTAAGGGGCCTCAGCTTTGGCCCCAGGACCCCTTCACACTCCTAAACATTATGTAGGACCCCCGGTGAGCTTTTGTTTATGTGGGTTTAGCTACCAATATTGACCATGTTCCAAATGAAAGCAGAAAAAATAGTGTATATTTATTAATTCATATAAACATAACAAACTCGCGTGCTCGCTTTGGCAGCATGTATTAAAAATAATAAGTCTAGGGGTGACTGGGTGGCTCAGTCGGTTGGGCATCCGACTTTGGCTCAGGTCATGATCTCACGGTTCGTGAGTTTGAGCCCCGCCTCAGGCTCTGTGCTGACAGCTCAGAGCCTGGAGCCTGTTTCGGATTCTCTGTCTCCCTCTCTCTCTCTGCCCCTCCCCTGCTCATGCCCTGTCTCTCTGTGGCTCTCAAAAATAAACATCAAAAATAATGTTTTACTGGCTTACTAGGAGACGGCCGGATTCTCCTGTCTGCTTCTGCATTCAGTCTGTCGCCGTGTGTCTTGGTTGAAGTGTATGAAGACACATGTTTGGGGAAGGGGGACGAGTATCTTAATATCCTTCGCACATAGTTCCGGACGTTTTCTTTGCCAAAACCTAAACGGGCAGTTTCTTGCAGGAATCTGTAATGGGGAGTCTGACTCCATAACGAGCTGTGCATCCATCTTACCCCATTAAAATCCAGTGGACAGACTTGCACTCTGAGTGGCTCTTTTGCCCTTGAAGGACCTTGTAACGCCATTGATCACTTTGAAGATACTGAGACACTGTGCAAATGTCGGACACGTCTTGGCACGTATGCCCGTACATCCCATTCATCGGCGTCACGCCCAAGCTCCTCTTCACCCCAGGGAGGCTGTCACGCTCACGACGTTCCAGAACCCTGGAAAGCCGTGCCAGGCCCCATCACTGGCCCTCCAGACTTGTGTCTGCCCTCCGATGTGTCACGGAAAACACGTGTACGTGCGGCTAAGGCGTGTGTGTGGCACGTGCCCGGGCAAGCACTCACTCAGTCATGGTGGGTGCTGTGACTTTTACTCGCACCGTTTCTGTGCTGCCGTTGTCATTAAGATCACCAGGCATCGCCTCTGGCACGAGTTGACCGGAGCCCAGAAGGAGGAACGAAAGCTGTTTTGTGGCGCGCCAGGGCGGTGACCTCATGCGTCGGCTGGCAGCCGCTCATCCTGGCATGCTTCAGACTGATGGCACTTGCTCAGTGTGTGCAGGAAGCCGGGGGGCACCCATGTGCCCTTCCCCCGTCGCCCTCCTCGCCTTGCCCTACCTGCGTCCACAGGCGTCGCTGGCGTGAGCGTCCATGCCCCCCGCCCAGCACGGGACTAGCGTGTGAGGATGGCCAGCAGCAGGGTGACCCTTGTCGAATGAGTGAATGCATTCAGGGGCTGATTTTGGACGGGACCTTCGATGTGGTTTCAGAGAGTGAATAATACAGAAATGTTCTCGTAAGTGTATGAGCTGAGCAGTGACAAGCTGTCGTTTTTCTCTGCGGGGAATGTTTGGCCTCTCTTCACCCCCACCCCCACCCTGTCCCTTCCCTCAAATCTCCGTTAAGTCAAAATAAAAACAGTAGAAGGCTTAAAAGTGTTTCACAGTGATTTGGGGCTAAGCATCTTTGCGATCAATATACTTTGCTTTCTGCTTTTCAGATGTTCCTCCTGCCGATCAAGAGAAGCTTTTTATCCAGAAGTTACGTCAGTGTTGTGTCCTCTTTGACTTTGTTTCCGATCCACTGAGTGACCTGAAGTGGAAGGAAGTGAAACGAGCTGCTTTAAGCGAAATGGTAGAATATATCACCCATAACCGGAATGTGATCACAGAGCCTATTTACCCGGAAGTAGTCCACATGGTAAGTGATTTCATTCTGACCAGCGCGCCCCGACCCGAGTGACACACAGGGCTGTGGCGTCCTTAGTGTAAACTGCGAAGTTTGAGCCTAACACAACCTTCTCGCAAAAAAAGTCCTCCTGTTGCAAAATTTGTACTTGAAGAAGGAAACTCTGTAATGTGTCCTGTGTTCCAGCGATAACAGTGAGGAACCGGTACCTTCTAGGTCCAGTCCAAGTGTCCTGTGTGTTAACCACCACGAGCACCCTATGGGCCACTTACACATACGTTCGAGCCCTCATTTGAATGTACCATCTTACCCTCTTTGATGGAATAGTGCTCACCATGATTTGGAAGTAAACATGTCTGACATGCACAGGAAGACTCTAATGACGGGGCAGAGTTAAAACAGTGATGGGATGGGGCGCCAGGGGGGCTCAGTCAGTTGAACGTCTGACTTCGGCTCAGGTCATGATCTCCCGGTTCATGGGTTCGAGCCCCGCGTCGGGCTCTGTGCTGACAGCTCAGGTCCTGGAGCTGCTTCGGATTCTGTGTCTCCCTCTCTCGTTCTGTGCCCCTCCCCTGCTCACGCTGTCTCTTTCTCTCAAGAATAAATAAACATTAAATAACAATAATGGTGACGGACCAAGCTAATGTCAGGACGGTCTGTCCTGAGCGGCTGAGATGGCCTCTGTCGCCCTGCGGTTACTTCGTTGTTGGTTTCATTCGGGCCCAAATCTCAGGCCTCCGGTCTCCTGCCTCACAGACTGTTTCCAGGCCCTTTGCAGAATCCCGTTTCAAACTCGTGCTGTTTGACGCTGAACTCGTTTTCTGTTGAGTGTTTTTTGAATTGTTGGTGCCTCGTCCGCCTCTGAAATCAGTAGCCCCTGGTTCTAAGGGAGTTTTTGTTGCTTAACATAAAATGTTATGTCCTGATTTTCACTGAACTCCTCCTTAAGTTGCTGATTTTTTCCCCCAAAGCTGTATGTTTCGGAAGGGACTAATCTTACAACCTAAACGATGTTTCTTTCTCACTTTAGTGTGTTCACTTTGGACAGAGAGTTTGAAAGCAGTGTTCTTTTTTGTGCTTTTCATAAGCTGTTGTGTCAGAAGCCGATATCAACTTGATTATTTTAACTTGTTGTTAACTGTTCTAAAGTTGAGAATTTACCAGCGTGTGGTCAGCCCGAGGCTGCAAGAACCCCGTGGGTTCCTTCCCCGACCCACCCGTGACGAGCACCCTGGCGTTTTTCCTGTTCAGACTAAGGAAAACAGGGGTCTCTTTTTTTTCTCTCCTTAATTTCAGCTCTCACTTACTTTGGAAGATCTCCCAAATGCCAGAATCTCCGAGAACAATCTAATATTTTCCCTAACGCCTTCATAATTTTGTTGTTCAGAATACACTTTATAATCCTCCTGGGACTTTGTTTGTGGTGCAGAAGGATATAATTTTATTTTCTCATAAAATGATAGAAAAATCATTTGTCTCTACATCATGTATGGAATATTTCCTTTCCCCCCTTGATTTTAAATGTTTCTTTATTGCATATTAAATTTATTTTATCTTTGAATTAAATTCAGGGCGCCTGGGTGGCTTGGTCGGTTAAGCACCTGACCTTGGCTCGGGTCATGATCTCGCGGTTCATGACTTCGAGCCTGGCGTCAGGCTCTGTGCTGACAGTGCAGAGCCTGCTTGGGGTCCTCTGTCTCCCTCTCTCTCTGCCCCTCCCCCGCTAGTACCCACACATTCTCTCCCCTCAATAATGAATAAACATTAAAAAATTATTTAAAAAAGAATCAATTAAATTTACTTATTAATATATATAAAATGTATAAGGACATCAATTGTTATATGTTAAATCACATGGTTGGAAGATTTTTCCTTTTTTTTTTTTTAATGTTTATTTATTTATTTTGAGAGAGAGTGGAAGCAGAGGAGGGGCAGAGAAAGAAGGCGGGAGAGAGTCCCAGGCAAGCCCCACACTGTTAGTGCAGAGCCCGACCCAGGACTGGGCCTCAAGAACCATGAGATCATGACCTGAGCCGAGATCAGGAGTCAGACACTTAAGCTACTGAGCCCCCAGGTGCCCCCGACTTTGGCATTTTTAAGGAGGGAAGAGTCTGCAGGCCTGAGGCTTCAAGCGCCAGGTTCAGGTCAGATGCCTGGCCTGGAACCGGCCCGCTGCCCTGCTCTGGTCAGATTCCCTTGTGCTTGCGTACAAGCGCATGGCGCCTGGGCGGCTCAGTCCCTAGCGGCCAACTCTTGATGTTGGCTCAGGTCATGATCTCACGGTTTGTGGGATCGAGTCCCTCACTGAGCTCTGCTACTGCAGAGTCTGCCTGGGATTCTCTCACCCTTTCCTCTGTCCCTCCCCTATTCATGCTCTCTCTCTCTCTTTCTCCCTCTTTCTCAAAATAAATAAACATTAAAAAATAAAAAGTGCACGTTACCAGAACTGCTCAGGGTGCTTAAAGCCCTTGGGACTTTTGCTTAAATTGTCATTACTTCTCTCCCCATTAGTAATCATGTCCTAGCCGGGCTCTCTTCCTTTCTTCACTTTGTCCCCACCCCAGAAGTCAGGGTGGACTTTAGAGCGTTGGGCAGTTGACCCTCTAAAGTACTTACAGACGCTTATCAAGCATCCCTTATGGGCCAGGAACGTTTTTAGGTGAGGAAGTAGACTGGCGAACAGTATTTCTGCCTTCCCAGCGCTTTCCTCTTCGTGGGAACAGGCACAAGGGAGAAAGAAAGTAGCGAGGATGATACTTGGTGGTGGTTTCTTGGCCTCAGAGGTGGAGACTGGGTACCGAACTCACGCGGTCCATAGAAGGCCTCCACCCCGTGCCGTGCCTGGACCCAAACAGTGCAGGTGGGAGAGATGTGAGTCCCTTCCTGGCTCATCGGATGCAGCCTGCTTTGCTGACCCCTGACGCACTTAGCCAGCCCCCTTGAGTATCGCTTGTTACATGTGTGTGTGCACGTGCTTGTGTTTCGTCATAGTATCTTTATTTTTATTTTTATTTTTTTATCACCACGTATGTGGTTTGTGTTTTTTTTAATGTTTTATTTATTTCTAGGAGAGAGAGAGAGACAGCGTGAGCAGGCGAGGTTCAGAGAGAGAGGGAGTCACAGACTGAAACAGGCTCCAGGCTCTGAGCTGGCAGTCAGCACAGAGCCCGACGCGGGGCTCGAACCCACGAACCGCGAGATTATGACCTAAGCGAAAGTCGGACGCTTAACCGACTAAGCCACCCAGGCACCCCTCGTCATAGTATTTTTAAAGATGTTAATTTCCACTTTGTAGAATCCAAGGCTCTGTAGGTGCTATACTCCTTATACTACTACCTTTTTTTTTAATGCCCATTTATTTATTTTGAGAGAGCACACTTGAGGCAGAGGGAGAAGGAGAGAGCGAATCTCAAGCAGGCTTCATGCTCAGCATGGAGCCCAACATAGGGCTCAATCCCATGACCTTGGGTCCCCATCCTGGGCTGATATTAAGAGTCAGATGCTCAACCAACTGAGTCACGTAGGCAGCCCCTTATGCTACTTCTTTTAAATATGTTGCCTGTTAGGGGAGCCTGGGTGGCTCAGTTCGTTGGACATCCAACCTCAGCTTAGGTCATGATCTCATGGTGTGAGTTCAAGCCCCATGTCGGGCTCCTCACAGACAGTGTGTATCCTGCTTTAGATTCTCTCTCCCGCATGTCTGCTCCTCCGCCACTCACACGCACACACTCTTTCTCTCAAAATAAACTTTAAAATATATATATATATATTGCCTGTTAGACTGGACTACTATATAGTTTTGGAACAAATGCATTGAGAGATCATTCATATACATGGAATTCACCCATTTAAAATATACAGTCCTGGGGCACCAGGGTGGCTCAGTCGGTTAAGCATCCAACTTTGGCTCAGCTCAGGCTCTCACTGCTCATGAGCCCGAGCCCCACACTGGGCTCTGTGCTGACGGCTCAGAGCCTAGAGCTTGCTTCAGATTCTATGTCCATCTCTCTGCCTCTCCTTTGATCTCTCTCTCTCTCTCTCTCTCAAATATAAAATAAAGCATAAATAATAAAATCTACAACCCCACGGTTTTTAATATATTGACAGTACTGTGCAGCCATCATCACATCTAATTGTTTATAACATTTTCATCCATCTAAAAATAAACCCCATGCCCATTAACAGTCACTCCCCGGCCTCCCTAACTTCTCACCCCCCACCTCTGGCAGCCCCTTATTGCCTTTCTGTCCCTGTAGAGTTGCCTAACCCGGACGTTTCCTGTAAGTGAAATTGTATGACATGTGGCCTCCTTCACTTAGCATGATGGCTTCGAGGGTCATCCATGTGGCAGCCGGTATCATCACTTCTTCGTGTTGCTAACACCACATTTGTATTTACCCATTCATCCGTGGACGGACATTTGGGTCATTTCTGCTACTTGGCGCTGTGAACACCCCGTAGAAGCGCAGTGTGCACATGTGTTCTCATTTCTCTGGAGCGTTTACTTGGCAGCGGAGCTGCTGCTCCCATGTTAACTGCGTGTTTAACGTTCGGAAGACTGGGGCGCCTGGGGGGCTCAGGGGGTGAAGCATCTGACTTCGGCTCAGGTCATGATCTCACGGTTCGTGTTCAAGCCCCACGTCAGGCTCTGTGCTGACAGCTCAGAGCCTGGAGCTGCTTCGGATTCTGTGTCTCCTTCTCTCTCTGCCCCTCTCCTGCTCATATTCTATCTGTCTCTCTCCCTCTCTCTCTCTCTCTCTCTCTCTCTCTCAAAAATAAGTAAACATTTAAAAAAAATTAGCCTTTTCGCAGTGGGTTTGCCACCAGAGCACAGGTGTGAAAACCAAGACGGGAAAGGAAAAGACTCCTATGAATGCCGTCGTCATCGGACAAGTAGATCCAGGCAGGCCCACCACTGCTTGTCGTCTGATCAGAAATGTGGTGGGATTGACGAAAGAACTATCGAAAACTTTGAGAAGGTAGCTGCTGAGACGGGAAAGAGCTCTTTCAAG